ATATAAATACAACACAAATAAAAGGACAGGAAATTTTTTTTGTCACGTATTTCAGTGAATTTTTCTATGCGTCGATAGTTTCTTATTTTTATGAGACAATTTTATTCTTATCTTTCACAGCCTATCCATTTATTTTCAATTGAAAATTTGATTGAAATTTATAACATATTTGATTTTATGTGATTATTTTTTTTTTTCTATACGATATTTAATGCAGCGTGTAATTTGCGCCTATTCCGGGTGGGAAGAATCGGTCTCGCAATTGACGGTAATTAATCTCACGCGATTATGTAGCATCCTTTGCGTGTCATCGGCAGGCACGTACTTCACAAGTTAAAACGTAATCGACACGCCTAACAATCGATAACGAACGAATACCGCACTCTAAAAAGAATTCGTGTTAGAAGGTAGATGTTTGTTGACACAGGCACACCCAGGGTCTACTCTAAAAAGGACGTGTGAGAATTGATCGATCTGCTGTTTGAACAGCCTTCCGGAGAAACGTTAAAATGATTAAGGGTTGTTTTTCAAGTCACGCCGAATATTACACACGTGTATTACAGTTACGAATTATAACTGACAGTTTCCCTTCCGGTCATAAAAACAATGTGATGTCATGATGGGTAGTTACATCATGGGTAGTTACATGGGTAGTTATATATTCTTCAATTCTTTATTATTTTTTATTATTGAGAAAAATAAATCTGAGAAATAAATTATTATGAATATCAGAAATAGATATTACGTAAAAATATAATTTTAAATATTATAATTAATAATTATGTTTGTAAACATATTCATTAGATGCTATTTTTCAGAATTAAAGAAATTTTATTATTATTTCATTACAAAGTTTGATTTTTATATCGATCGTTAATATTTTATTTGTTCGACGACATGAGAGAAGGAGAATGAAATGATAAACCGCTTAAGATATTATATTGATTACACAAAGCAGTATTTGTAAAACGCGTTTAACAAAAATGGGCTTGGCAGCCGAAGGGCTAGAAACGTTTGACGACTAACAATAGACAGATCGAGTTCGATACGTTGAATACCTCTCGCGCCTAGTATAACGAGCTCACCGACAAAGTGCCAACAAATCCCCCGCAATAAGATCGCGGCAGATGCAAGTATCAGCTGCATCGCCAGCGGCGATCAACATATCATTTTGTAATAAGACATTTCTGGAAACTGTATTTTTCGTAATTTGAATCGTAATCATACATGATTGGAATATCTTCCATTTGGCATGCAGATCATATATTGAAGCTAAATTACTGTTTCGATTAATGTTATTAAATGTTATTAAATGAATTTGAATATCACTCATTTGATATACAGATCGTATGTTAAAAATAAATTATTGTTTCGATTAATATTATTATGATGTAACAACATTACGTAATATTTTTGAGATTTTGAGATTCTCAAGTTAAGATATGATATGAATTCGACTGGAAATTTGTGGAGAGAACCAAAGTTACTATACCATATCGTATCGAAAACCATGTTTTAGCCTTTGGCTCGACAAGAAATCATTATCTATACATATATTTTCCATAGCTTTATGTTCCCCGCACACCGTATATTTCTCATCGTATATCTCTCACAGGATAACATATGCCGACATATAATCGCGTTCGTATTGGCGGGATATTTCCGAGCGCGATTTATTCTTTCGATTTTACGAGTCAATTCAGACTCGTCCGTGATACATTAAGTCCACCCCAGTGTGCATTCTTTCCGGTAGCTGTCATTTCACACGGCATGATTCGTGAAGCCCACGCCGTTACGGTGGCGAGCCGATCAGTGGCGAGCTACAAGCTGCACTTAAGCTCGAGATAAGAGACTCTTCTGTTAGGTGGTTTTGCGGTTAAATCGGCAGGAAAGGTCCGCTGCAAGCCACGGTAACTGCAAGTGATGATCTTGTAACTTGCACCGTCCGTTGCAAGATCTCGAGGCATTTTCCGTAATAACGTGTCTAGACTTTGTCTGTTATGGCTCTCATGAGCTTGATTTAAAAGAAAGAAGACAGTAATTTCATTTGTATAATCAGAAATTACAATAATAATTTAAAAATTGAAAAGAATTTCGCGAGTTCTAAATTCTGAAGAATAATTTCAAGAACGCTAGATATATTTTGAATATATTTTTGTTAGACTTTAAATATTTTGTGTTATTCTGAATTATCAGATTTCTTATCGATATTGAAATATACAATTAGGATAATACTTATATATTTAAAAAATAGAAATTTTACACGAAGCCGATTTTGTTAGATGCCGATCGCGAGGTCTTATTATCATACATAGCACGCATGTTACATGCAATTTCTAGATTCTCACGAATCGCGTTGTTGTTTTCCATCATTTTACTATGACTAGCTAACATCGGCCATAAGATCTTGACATGAGATGAATATCGTATTTCCTATAATACATGGTTCGGTCGTACCGCTGAATTCTGCAACGTGCACGAACTGTCTTTTGCATAGGTTATCGTGGAAGACCCGGGAATCGACACGAGGTGCGAATTTTTTTCGACTTGGCGAATATGGGAATCATGAAGATTCTCCCGAAATTAAAAAAGAAGTGCTGCAACGATTTATTAACTTTGTATACTTAATTTGTAATAATTTTTATAACATTCATTTTTTTATCTTATTCTTCATTGTTGTATCAAAAAATATCAATCTGAGCTTCTGTTTATTGATGCGATAAGGTACAACTCGCAATCAATTTGGATTTTGGGATGCACTTATAAATAAAATTAAAGTAAAAATAAATGTTTCGACTGTGGATTTTAGTCAATGTGAAAATAAAAAAAACACATAAGCACACATAAGTATGTTATTTACATTGGATTTACAATATTTTTGGAACCAAAATTATTATTATTATTTTATTTTAATTGCAATAATTTCATTGATCACATTCTTTACATTTACAAACACGTAACGTATTACCATTTGGATAAAAAATTATTAGTACAGTCACAACAATAGTTTATTATTACATTATCCGATTACGAAACTTTAAATAAATTTAATCACGTAACTCTCAAAGACTCTAAAGTTTCCCTTCCTTCGTAAGTAAACAGTTCGTCGGAACGTAAACACGTCCGGCCGCGTCGATGAATGAACCGGTCGGCAGGATTTCTGCTTTAAAATTCCTTCTGGCCGCGCGCCAGACAACTCATGCATATTCACGTGACTCGCACGAGTAGCGAGAATGGATGGCAGAGAAAAAGGGTGAGTCGAGTGGGACAGGGGCAAGAAGGACGAAATAAAAAGAGAAACGCATTGATAATCGAGATCGGACGTGGTGGAGTACCGCGTACTCAGGACCCATGATTTTAATTTTAAATGCAAGTCCGCGAATCGATGGCACGAGAGTAGACGCGAGGGTGGGATGGAAGTTCCAGCCATTGCTCATACGTATGTGCATTTCTATAGGTATCATCTTCCGGTATCCTCGAGGGGGTCTTAGTCGGCTCCTCCGCGATACTGCGAGTTTAGTCGTGAAAATGCAACGAGATGCACACGCGATAGCGGCGATTCTTTCTTGTAAATCGAGATGATAAATTTCAGGGAAGATCGTGTAGGGAAAATTGATTTGCGTTTCGATTCGTGCAATTTATGTTACATGAGCCGTGTATTTTGAAGGTTTATTCTGGCGAAAATCGATTTTTTAGACCTCATTGCAATATGTAGTAATCATATCAATTTATTATTCATATTTCCTCAATTCATTTTAAAGTATGTGTCTAACGTTATTTTTAGAGTAAATATGAAAGAGATTAATATCACATACATTTAATAAAATAAAAATTGATTAATATTTTCAATATTGTATTAATTTTATATTAAAATTATCGTATATTTATTGTTAAAATTTGTGATATTTCTAAATTTAAATAAACATCAATACGAAATTAATTCATCATTTATTATAGGAAACAAGATCAAATAAAATACAGTGTTCTGCTGTAAACATTAATTCGCGAACACAAATTCCCGGCAACGTATCAATTATTGCTTCTTTCTTTCACCGTTTAATCATGTGCCATGGGGGCAACAGCATTCCGATGCGCAGATGAACCTCGATTAAATGAATTAAAAGCCTGTTCGTGCTGAACACGGTAATTGGCTGTAGACAATTACGAGATAAGTCGCGCCAATTTCGGCGGCAACACAGCAAAATTGTTCCGTTTAAATCGCCCGCTCGCCACCGTTGAATCGGTTCACATGCGGCATTATACTCTCGGTCCTTTTCGCCAATCAGTGCTCGTTAAATTGCAAATTAATGCAGAGACGAAGCCGTTGTCGAAAAATTGCAACGCGCGAATTTCGTTTCGAGTTTACCGGTATTTATCATAGACTTTCGCCCTTTCGCATACAAATTTTTGATTGTCTTATAATTGGATAATAGCTTCATAATCGTAATTACATACGTGGACAACATGATGATTGTTCAAGAAACGAAAGCCTATATACGTGAATGTTATAGCATAATCTTTTTAATAACATTCGTAAATTCGTTGATTCTATTCTCAATATATTAATGTTAAAAAATGAAAAACGAAAGTTTGTGAAATATTATTATCGTAAAGTAATTCGTTAGTTTTCTTCTCGATAATATTAAAAAATGAATATTGCCGAAGTATCTATGCACTTTATTTACTGTCATTAAAAAAAAATACAGTTTTATTATAATAACATACAATATTAGCAAAATTTTATGTAACAATAAATATAGCACTATTGATGGCCATATATATGTAATAGATACACATATACCTATATCCATTAAAATCGTTTAAATAAAAATGAATCAATTAACCAAACATCGACTGAATATTACAAGTAATAACTTTATTTATAATAGGCAGTCAATTATTCTTAATCAAACAATTATTCTACTGTTGGATTTTTCTGATATTTGATTTGAGATAATATTTATTCTATATAATAAAAAAGTCATTTCATTACAAAAACTTCATCTTATACGGCTAGGTTCCAAAACGAATAGTTGACTGTTCGTGGTTTTTTGTGCGTCCTGACGTCGCCGTCTAATCCTGGCAGCCAAGAATGGCGTAAACAAACTTGGATCGTGTTCAATGTTGTTTCTGCCTTGGATAAGTCGAACTATAATACTTGCTACATATCCAACTACTAGTGTAATTGTCAGTCCCATAGGATTATACCATAAATAAGAGATACGGTATAAATAGAAGTATGACGATTGATCTGGTTGTACAGTACTGCAAAAAAAAAGAAATAATATGATTGTGATAAATAAATCATATAATCTTAAAAAATATTTGTACAAAAAATATAAACTTTAAACAAAAAAAATCTTTATTCTTGTAATAATAACTTGTTACTTTCTCTACTTTCTCTTTGCTGTTTTGTAATACAAAACGTCTAATTAGCAAACTGTCTTTTTTTAATGATAAAAACCGAGATAAAAACATTACTTGAGTTACGTACGCGATAGATGCATTTATTATTATCAACTATCTTAAAAATTATTTTAATTAGATCAGATCACCTTTACATCTTTTTGCAGGCAATCTTTCAATTTCTTGCCGTTGAAAATAAATCAGTTAATTTAAACGAATTCCCGCCGACAAAGAGAAAGCTATATCTAATCTCACTAATAACGGCGTAGCAAGGATTCCGTGAGACAACTGTAATTTTAATTTATTAACGGTGCAATTAACGTTATTTACCACCGTGGGAATAGCAAGCTTATCATTCATGAGAAAGCAACACGCGTGAAAGAAATCAGGAAGCGGCGCTTAACTCGCAACTAATTACAGTGGGACGAGATATCTCCGCGCGCATTGCAACATTGATACTCTGTGAATTTCGAAGAGTAGATAAGACAATTTACAGCGCGTCGATAATTCATATTCTAATCGTCACGCAATGCGCGCCATGCGTCGTCTGGTCATTTTTTCTCTCTTCTATCTGTTTCCTTAAGATAAATTTATGTTCATTCGATTCAGTCTGTGACGAGCGAGATAAATTATTGACAATTGCAAATACATATTGCATTTATTCCCGAGAGTGCTGTAGTGCCGATATTTGAGCATTGTGCAACACCCGAGATGAAAATTTTAGTTTAAAAAGGAAATGTTTCATATCATGAATGAATGTCCGAAGTATAAAATTTTTGTTAACTTTCCCAATATACTTGAAAAATATACATTAGATGAATATAGTTATTATTTATATATTGAGAATAAATTTAAAAATCTAGTAACTCTCGTGTCTGTAGAATCAATTAATGTTCGTACGTTTTGAATGAATTTATTTTCGAAGATATGATTTCTTTTTTGCATAGTTCTTTTCTCTTACTATTTGGAAAAGCGATTTGAATTAAATAATTGTTAATTTCACTAATTGTTAATTTTAAAAACATTACATGAATCCGAAATAATATAAATAATATAAATTCAAAACTTTAATATATCTTAAAGAAGTTATTTTAAAATATTATTTAAATGTACTTTTTAATACGTTCTAATAATTGAAAAACATAAGGCGCGTAGCTTCAGTACTTGCAAAGTTTGGATACCGATTGAATTTTTTACGTTTTCTAAGAATACTTTACCTGTTAAAATTCATTTGTTCAGCAAACATTAATGCTGTAGAATTTGCGCAACCTTCGATCGACACTGGTAACTGTGGAATTGGTGGTTTAGGTCGCCCAAAAGAGCCCCACAAGCAAACGCAGAGCGCCGTAATCATGCCAATAATAGTTCCAATCTCGTTAGCACTCTCACTGAACATTCCAAGAGTAAAAATACCTAAAATCGGTCCTCCGATGGAGCCATGAATACTAAAAGCAACAGTTGCTAGCGAGCCCATTGTCTTTGCTATTAATGCTAAAAACATGCAAATAACGCCATTTAAAACGGTAAGAGATTTAGCTATGAAAGTGGCTCTATTGTCAGAAAAATCTATTCCAAATTTTCGGTGTAGTGGCTTCACATAATCCTCGAGCGCTACCGCGGCTAATGAATTCATCATAGCGGAAATCGTGCTTAGGCTGGCGCTGAAGATACCAGAAACGATGAGACCAACCACTCCAGGTGATAAGTTCTCCACGGTGAAATAAGGCAATATTTTATCATAAGTTGAAATTTTTTTGGACATTACGGGATCGCAATCTTTGTACCTCACATAAATTGACAATCCGGTGAAGCATGTTAAAAAGCCTACTAGTAAGATGAATGGGCCACACAGAAACAGTGCATGCGTAGCTACTTTTACGTTTCTGCGAAAATAAAAATAGATTGTTGCAATGTACACTAGCAGAATTCTTTAATATCCAATAAATTAAAAATTGATAATTAACTATTGGATTTTTAATTTTTTAATTATTTGTTTATATTTTATTTTTTTATATTGTATATTTATACTTGTTTAATTGAAATTTAGTTATAGGCAACAAATTTTAAATTTTATATTTTTGATAACTTTAATAATAGATTGATTTAAAAATTTTTTTCTTTAAAAATAACTATATAATGAAAAAAATGTTTTCTTTATTTAAGTTTAAACGATAAACGATGGTTATATAAATATGTTTATGAAATACACATTGACATACTTAACGGTCATCAAACGTTGAACTTGCACCTGATTCACTGCAACATAGGCTAGATGTATTAATCCTCCTCCAATTAAAGTACTCCATACTGTGTATTGCACAGTTGGATCTGTAGTCCATCTAAATAAAGAAAGCATTATTAATATATCTATTCTTTTATTTACTCTTTATTATTTATTATAATATCCAACTTACTCAAAGAAATTTATACGATTGCCCTCTTTGCCGATACGCCAAATGCTATCGATTCCTCCGTCGATGTTTTGGGTGACGATGAAGATGATGATAATAAGAGCAATTAACATAAGCAAGCCCTGGAAGATGTCGGTGATCAAAACCGCTTTGATGCCACCCAACGTGGAATAGGAAGTACATATTACAGCGAGTAATAAAATACTCATGGTACTAGACAAACCCGTCGTAGCTTCGAGAGCTAAGGAAGGAGCATACAGCATCACTCCGGTCAGTAACATCGTCTCAGAGAAATTAGCCGCGCTTACGAGCAACCGCAAGTACAATCCAAATCGCTTTTCGAGATACTAAAAGAAAGGAGAAATGTAAAGAAACAATAGAATCATATTACAAATAATCCAAATAATATATTTATCCAAAATACATTTAATGAACTTGAGAAAGGCCTCAAAGATTAAATCGCAAATGAAAATAATATTAAAGTCAATGAGAATCGACACAGGTAATCATGTGTGTATATGTGTGTGTGTGTGTGTGTGTGTGTGTGTGTGTGTGTGTGTGTGTGTGTGTGTGAGACAAAATGCCTATATTAATCACCTATATTAATACACGCCTATATTAATACAAATGTATGTGTCTGTGTGTATGTACACTCATCAACTAAAAAGTTACAACATTTTTTTTCCAATTGATTACAGCCTGCTCACTGAGCGATTGATTCTTACCATTATGAATCTGACCATTTAGATTCAATTATCTTGCTCTACTAGCAAGACTGAGCTCCGAAATCGAAAAAAGTATTACAATCTGATGTGTGTATATATTGTATTTGATGATTAATAAAAATAAGCGTTTTATCACACATAATCTACTATGTTGCCTCTCATTGGCTTTAAGATTTCTTTTGCAAAATATATTTTTTATAATTGTTTAGGAATAGATTTATTATACATAATATAAATTATTTTGCAGTTTCTCAAAATCTTTTAAAAAAGTTTTATTAATTCTTATTTTCAAATCAATTTTACATTCTGCATCGTTTTTCTGTTTAAAATTTGGCAAATTAATACATTCGATTATAGTTTACGTGATATTAAACGATATAACTGATTATCTCCGAAGAACATTGAAATGTTATTTAGATTAGTAATCGATATTGCTCGTGCAAGCATCTGACAATTACCTCATAGATGCTTACGACTTTTATCTCAAAGAAGACTGGTAAATAACAAGTGGCAATGATCGGTACGGTGAAAATGCCGGCAGCATACATTAACGCAACGATCAGGCCGCGAATGTAAGTTTCCCCGCTCATTCCGAGCATAGTAATTCCTGATACATGGGAGGCCATCATAGCGATCGAGAGGGGTAAGACACCTAATGAATTGTCCGCGGAGAAGTACTCCTATCGATGATAATTGTGCAATTGGTTAAACAGCAATTTTGTATTGTACATCGTTATAGGAAACATCGTTTATGACAACGTTGTAACGTTTCCATAAAGAGATTTTTCTGACATTGTTGCGATGGATAAAATTAGTAAATCGATACTGCTCTGTTTTTTAAAGTTTTTTTATCATAATTATTTAATCAATCTGTAAAATACAATTTGTCTGTAACTCATCAATTAAACATTCACGTTATTAATTAAAATGTTTAAATCAATCTTTGATAAAATTATGGAAAATTACTTATGTCTTAGAATCATTTAATCTTGACTCTATGAATTTATGGAACCATCTAATATTTATAAGTACTTTTTCTTAAGAGATTCTATATGAGAAATAAGATAAGAAACTATATATGCTTTACATTAATATATTAGGCGATCAAACGCGTTTTATTTCATAATTATGATAAATTTGAATTGATCTCGACATTCAAAATTTATGGATTATTGATTAGCGCTTCTCGAGTTATTGAGTTGAATCGTAACGACAGTTAATTAACACATCAAACACTTAGAAAATTGTTCGAGATTTAATTTATTACTGATACCCATAATTTATGCGTATATTTATCGCAACATGAGATCGATCATATAACATATATAACAGCATAGATATGATTCGCGTGCAGATTATCGCGATCAGACTGGTTTAATGATGAATTGATCCGTATAGAAATTGATTTTGTTGTAAACTGACCGTGGCAGTACTTTGTCGACCACCGCTGAATCGATAATAGAGTCCGATAATGATGGAGACCGACATAACTGCGCCGATCACAAGATAATCTTGCCATTGCAATCTATTAATTTCGCCTTCAATAGGTGTCTATAAATAAGAAAAAAAAGCAAATCTTTTTTATTATAATTTTAAAATCCATAATAAAAATTTTAAGCACAATTTTTTAACAATTTAATTTTTAAACATGTAGCTAACAACGTTAAACTAGTAGAGAAGTTTTCTTAAATATTTTAAAATTTATAATCAAAATTGTAATAAACATATTTTGTAAGATAATTATTTATTTATATTTAATTATATAATTATATACTTACATCCATTCTGTAAAATTTACACCATTTACTTGACAAAAAATTTAACTTCGATCTTACTAGTTAAATTTTGGAAATTTTCATTGAAATAAAAGATTTCCACAACTTTTTCTACACTTTGAAAACACCAAGAGCACGTAGATTCAAATGTCATGAGTATTCGACAAGGTCTTACTAACAAATGTGTCCATTTGCATTGCATGATACAAAAACGCATGAGAAGTTATTACATAAAGAATTGCTCGGCATATTTAGTGTTAAAGCACGCAAACCACAGATTTCATCGGTAAATTAGACTTCACAATATGTAATAGACGTGATAACATGTTGTTCAGTGCTAATTAATGGTTAGATAAATAAAAAGTTTATCTACGAGAATATTGTGAATATCGATGATGAAAATGGAAGTTGAGTTGTATTTGAACATGTTCATTGTAAACATATATGTATTGTATAATATATATATATATATATATATAT